TCTCGGCTTTGTTTGGTCTATTCGAGGTAATGATAAGATACGATCAGTAACACGTGAGCAAAAACGTGGCTTGATTATAATTACGCCACGTCAGTTATCTTCTACGGCTCAGATTTGATCCAACGGCTTTGACTTAGTTAAAATCTTGTACGTACACGTGTCATGTGAACGATCTTTGACCGTTAGATCGTCCTTTATAAGGTCTCTTTACCCTCTTCCTCGAGCTCTAGGGTTATTTTTCTTTCGGATTAGCTTCAGTGTATCCTTTTGGGTACTGCTACAGGTGCGTTTCGTTCGGACGAATCATTTGTTTATCGGAAATTACAGTACTGTATATTTGATGGGTTTGTTTACTTGTTCTCGATTTGTTGTTTTTTTGCCGGAAATTTTGTTGCTTGATTGTTACATTGATCGGTAATACGATGAAATTTATGTTGTCTCGATGGAAAATCAAATTATTTGTGTGTAACTTTGGTGATTTGTATTGTTCGATATCGTTCTTATCTGGTTATTGTGTGTGTGATCAATGCTTAGATTACTATGTTGAGACCAAAGTGCATTTTTGTTGAAATATTGAAATGTTTTTGTTTTGTTTTGTTTTCTCAGAGCTTTAATTTAAGGTTTTTGGGAGGTTAAATTTGAGAGAGAGAAGATGTTTTCGGCACAGCATAAGATTCATAAGGAGAAGGGTGTGGAGCTTTCTGAATTGGATGAGCAAGTTGCTCAGGTTTGATCTTTAAATCTTATTTTTGCGTAGAATTGGTGAAAGTTTTTGATACTTTGCATGTTTTTGTTGTTTTCTTAGGCTTTCTTTGATTTGGAGAACACTAACCAAGAATTGAAAAGTGAGTTGAAGGATTTATACGTCAACTCGGCAGTGTGAGTGAATTGGTTTTGTCTCCATTTTGTTTCCCTATGGAAGTAAAGATAACTGAAATTTCGATCAATTTTCTCTCTCTTTGTAGTCAAGTTGATGTATCTGGAGGACGCAAGGCAATTGTTATCAATGTTCCTTACAGATTGAGAAAAGCTTACCGTAAAATCCATGTTAGGCTTGTTCGCGAACTCGAGAAGAAGTTCAGCGGAAAGGTAATTCCTTTTTACCTTTTCTTGGTGTATATTATTGAGTTGCTCGATTCTTCATGGTTTGATTTAATGATTGATACAACTAATAGAGTTATGGAGCTATATATTCTCTGGTTATATAGAGAAAAGAGTCGCATATGTTTCATTTAGCTTTCTTGGTAATAATATATTCTTCTTTCTCTCTGGACCTATGTTTAGGATGTGATCCTCATTGCTACGAGGAGGATTGTGAGGCCACCAAAGAAAGGCTCAGCTGCAAAGAGACCACGCAACCGTACTCTGACATCGGTCCATGAAGCCATTCTTGATGATGTGGTCTTACCCGCAGAGATTGTTGGGAAGAGAACCAGGTACAGACTCGACGGTACCAAAATCATGAAGGTAAGTAAAATTCCAAAGATCATATTTCTCAAAGATCATCCACAGATTCTGTTAATCTAAATGGAATGGAATGTGTTTTTCGAAAGGTCTTCTTGGAACCAAAGGAAAGGAACAACACAGAATACAAGCTTGAAGCTTTCTCTGCGGTTTACAAGAAGCTGACCGGCAAAGATGTCGTCTTTGAGTATTCCATCGTTGAAGCCTAAGAGATTGAAATGAAAAAAAATCTGTTGTGATCTCTGATATTTAAGTCCTCTTCTTTTTTATGTGTGTCTAAGACATTGATTTCTCGTTGGTGAATGTGTACACAAATCTTCAAATTTTTATGGGTAATTTGAGTTTAGCTTGACATAGAACAACAAAAACCCTTAAAAAAGGT